TGATCTCTATGGCTCTGATACCAACTCTATGGGTGCTACTATGAGCGAACAAAAATCTAATAATCTAAAAATCTAATAACCATGAATCTAAAAATTTTTATATTCCAAAAACTCTTTTATTTTACTGTTAAAATAAAATCTTAAGATAAGGACTAAACCTTCTTATAAATTTTTGAGTAATTCTTCAAAGTCTAATAATGTCTGAGAATTTATAATATCAATATCTGTCATCATATCTATATCTGTTCTAAAAGGTATATCATATTTTGAAATATTTTTCTTCCTTTTTTCCAATTTATCTATGATATCTTGTATATCTTTTATAATTATTGTTCTTACAATTCCTTTAGCAAAATTTTATAGTAAGTTTTCTTTGAAACATTTTAATGTTTCTTGTGATGCATATAATTGTTCTTGATATCCTATCTTATCAATTTATTTTTCAAACTTAATTTCTTTTTTATTTTTAACAACCTTTTTTATATTATATGGTCCTCTCTTATATTTGGATTTTTCTATTTTATAATTTGTCATTAATAATTCTCACAAATTTTTAGAAAAATTATTTGTTAATTATTTAAGGACTTAAATAGAAGATTTATATTAGATAAAGGGTTGTTTTTTAATATTTATTTAAGGGCGTTTTAGATAGTTCAAAATGTTTAGAAAAATTAAAGGCCATTTTGAAAAATCCTTCCTTTATTTAGGTCAATTTGAGGTATTTCCCATTAAAAACACTATTAGCCCATGTCTAGGAGCCATTTGGCCTAATGCATAATACATTTTTTTGACCGTTTCAATTCGTGTGTGGGACCCAGACAAGTTGTAATTATTGACTGCAGACGCTATACATGCTGCGAATTATTAAATTGCCTCGTCTTAAAGAAGAATGATTATTTATTTATTTATTTTTTTTTTTTGTGTGGGGACACATTGATAATTTGTGTGTAATTTGGTCAAAATATATGACTCCTTTGACAACTCCTATATGACATTTACAAATTTTCTAAAAATATGATACAAAATAGCTCCTAAACAGGAGCTTAAGCGTCAAAATTTAGGGAGTGTATTCATTTGAAATTTTTAAAATTTTTTAAAAGCTTAGATGTATTCAGTTGGGACTTCTCCCTAAGCACAAAAAGTCTAACTGTGGCAGCACCTGATTTACAGACATTTTTTTTTATCTGCTAATGAATTTGTGTTATGTGGAATCCTGTAAAATTTGTGTGAAGATTTCCAAGTTCTTGTAGGATAGACTTTTAAAAAGTTTTCGAAAGTTAGGGTATTCAATTAAAACTTTTTAGAAGCCTCTAGAAGTCATAAGTCATTCAAATAGACAATAACTTTTGGAGAATCATCTATTTACTAGATTTCTAGAGACTTTTTGTTAAAAAATATAAATAGCAAATTTCAAAAAAAATCTCTCATATATTCTGAGATTTGTGAAGATCTCAAAGCCCAAAGAATGTCTTTTTTGTTTCAATTCCATGATTTTCTCATATCTCTTCAATTCATTTATTGTAATCAATTTATGATTATTTTATATGTACATAATTACTTTTAAATTGAAATTATATGCAATTGTTTCAAAATGTAGAATTTCAAGTAGTCAATCTATTCTCTCTCTTTTTTCTGATTAAAAACAATTTGTGTTCCTAAAAATTATGTTTGTTTATTGAAAAAATTTGATCATATTATTAGAAATTGATGTAAAAGTTTTTTATTAATTTATTTGTGCCAAAATTGAAATACTGGGCCGTGACCAATGATTTTACCCAAGAAAATTTTGAGGGCGTCTTGGTTCTCAAAAATATTAATTAGATAGTAAAAAAGATTGTAATTTTTCATGTACATAATGAATTTGTGAGATGAAAAATCTGTAATCAAAATCAATAGAAGTCCATGTATGACTTTTATTAATTTTTAACAAATTCATAGAAGTCACGTAAAGGTCCATAAAATGCATAAAAGTTTCCCAATTAAGAATGCTTTAAAAATCCCAATTGAATACATCCTCCCCAATTACATTCTATTTTAGTTATCGAACTTAATTTTGTTCTAAATTAACCACTGAAAAAGCAAGGCATTTTTTTTATACATGGTTAGTTTAAAATAATACACATTTGGAAAATAAAACTAATGCCCATTGTAGACTTGTAGTGAGTAGTGGAATGATATCTTAGTGAGTTAAGTCAATTTCGATTCACTTTAAGTCTTAACATAGAATCAACTTTTCCTTATTTAATGACTAAATTTGGTTCTCGGTTGATTACATTGAAAATAAGTCAAAGTTAAGTTTTATAAATAATAGGCCGAAGTTTTATTTCCTCATTTAAGAGTTCCGGAAGTGTTTAAAAAGAATAAAATTCTACTTTCAACTACTTTAAACACTCAAAAATTTAGTTAGCGGTTGGTTTGTGTTTTCATTTTCCATTTTCCATTTTCATTTTCAAAATGATTTTTTGTTTTCCCCGAAAACAGCATGTTTTTCGCGTTTTGAGCGTTTTCGACATTTATAACTGAAAACGCTGAAAACGATAAAAAGTTGTTTTGCGTTTTCAGTTATAAATTTTAACTCGTTTTTGAAAACGACGGACCAAACGCGTTTTCCGCGTTTTCAAAAACGGAAAACGAAAAATGGGTCAAAAACGGCAAACCAACCATGACCTTAATGTCTAGTGAAAGCCAAGTGATCCTATTACTTCAAACCGGAATATGTACGAATTGAAACAAAACTTTGAAGAAAAAAAGGTCGAGAAGCACCCTTGATCTAACTGAAGCATCATAATTTTCTTCTCGTTTTCATCTTTAGTTTCTAACTTATTTGAACAGGAAATACTTTCTTTCTTTTTCTTTTTCTTTTTTCCAGTTGATTTGCAAAAAGAAGACAGAGAAAAAAAAATTAAATTACAAACATCTCAAACCTTGGATCAATTTGATCAAATAGCTGTCGCTTCGCGGAAGTCCTATCTATGACTTAACCGTGAAATATTATATTGACATGTTTTATTACAAGTACCTTCATATTATTTGTCGGTTTGACCCTTTTTAAAATTTTAAATTATTTGTTATAGTATAATTTTTATTACACATTTACACAATAAAATATTCTATACAAATCAACAAAGTTTTTATTTTATTTTTTAACTACATATTTTTCAAAAAATACTATTTAAAACTCCTTAGTTTTCCGAATAATGGATGACAATCAAGAGCTCATATTGAGCAAGTTGAAAAACTTCCTTTTCTCCGTGTTGTTTGGTGTATCCTGGATAAGTAACAATGACGTGTGTGGATCATACACGGTAGTGCAAGCAGCCTAATTTTTTCAGCGTGGTGGAATAATAATCCAAGTTTGCTTCTTTTTGGCTGTCACGTTCTGCCCACTGTGGCACTATTCATGATAAAAACAACTTCTTAATGTCAAGTTTGTCTGCTGAGGATAAAGTAAAATTTACTCGAGTGAAGATTAAATTAAAATAAATAAATATATGGACAAGTAGTTTGACATGATATTGGAGCAAATAAAGGTACTCGACATTTGTTTAGTTGCTATCTATTAGATAAAAACATGTTTGGGCACTATAGCATTAGTAGCTAACCTTCATATTCAGTTGTGGATGCTGCGAAAGACGAATACCATTTGCATTCATTTCGTTCCAAAGCGACAAGATCCATTTCTTTTATGCATTCTTTCCAAGCTTTAGCTTTTAAAACAAGAGGCACAAATGTTTTATTTTTGTTCTGTGTTTGATATAGTCAATATGGGTTCGATTTTAACAATAGCAGTTTATCTCAAGTGGCTACTATTCTGACTTGCTCGTTTACGTTTTATTTTAACCCATTATAACGAAGAGGTGTATGTGTAGATAATAAGTGGATAGTAACTGTGAGTATGATTAAAATTAATGTCTAACTTAAAATTCAAATTATAAGAAGATTATAATAAAACACTAACAAAATTACATGTTTTGAATTTCCATTTTCCACGTGGAAATTCTATTAGTTTCCAAAGATGAAGTTATGTATAGTTACTCCCAAGGTTAGAAATTAAAAGTGTAGGATTAATTTCACAAGAAAATCAAGGTCGGCGACCAAAATACCAATCAAGTTGTGTCACTCTCTTCAAAATCCCAGTACCAGAATATAGCCGCCATCTCAACCCCAGCTAAAGCAGATAAGAGGGGGGAGCTCTTCAATTCAGTTTGATCAATTAATGGCAAGCTGTAATGATATTCACGAAAGCAAGGAGCATATCAGCAAGGAAGTTGTAGTAATAGTGGTGCCACTTCCAGCCCAGGGCCACCTCAATCAGCTTCTGCAACTATCCTGCCTCTTATCTTCCTATGGCCTCCAGGTTCACTTTGTCAGTTCTGCCATCTACAACCGCCAAGCCAAACTCCGTGCAAATGGCCTGGATATGGACAAACTCCATTTCCACGATCTTCCAACACCTGCTTTTCAATCACCTCCTCCGAATCCCAACTCGACTAATAAGTTCCCAACACAGCTGCAGCCGGCCTGGTATGCCATGTTGAGCCTCCGCCAACTGGTGGCTGAATACGTAGAACACATGTCCAAGCAAGCAAAAAGAGTTGTTATTATTCATGACCCAGTTATGGCTGCGGTTGTTCAGGAGGCGATTCCTAATGCAGAATCCTACGCTTTCAACTGTGTTTCAGCTTATTATTATTCCTCTTTTTTATGGGAATCCCTGGGAAAACCATTCCCTATTGAACAACCAAAAAATTTTCCCTCTTTTAAAGGATGTGTTCCAGATGAAGTCCTTAAATTTGTAGCTTTACAGGAAGAGCCATTGAAATATAGAGCAGGGTATTTATTCAATACATGTAGAGACATAGAAGGGCCTTATGTTGATCTATTAGAAAGGGAAGAGGTTGCTGAGAATAGAAAATTATGGGCAATTGGACCAATTCTTCCATCAAAATCCTTATCTGCTAATAGCCAACACAAATGTTTGGAGTGGCTTGACAAACAAGCTCCAAAATCTGTCATCTATGTATCGTTCGGAACGATGACTTCATTGTCGGACGAAGAAATCAAAGAGCAGGCAATAGGATTAGAACAGAGCAAACAGAAGTTCATTTGGGTGCTGAGGGACGCCGATAAAGCAAACGTGTTCGACGGTGAAGTTAGACGACCTGAATTACCAGACGGATTCGAGGAAAGAGTCGTAGAGTTTGGGATGGTGGTGAGAGATTGGGCACCACAGCCAGAAATTCTTTCCCATCCATCAACTGGTGGATTCATGAGCCATTGTGGCTGGAATTCATGCTTAGAAAGCATTACCATGGGAGTGCCAATTGCAGCCTGGCCTATGCATTCTGACCAACCAAGAAACGCTGTGCTCATAACAGAAATACTGAAAACAGGTATCTCGAACCACCATATTTAAAAGTTTAAATAAATTATTACAGAACAGACAAATTTATTCATTTATATTTTGTGTTCAAACAGGTCTCATTGTGAGGGAATGGGAACGGAGGGAGGAGCTGGTGAAAGCTTCCACTATTGAGAATGTTGTGACAAGATTAATGGCATCGGAAGAAGGAAATACGCTGCGAAAACAGGCTGCGGAGTTGGCTGCTGTCGTTAGACGGTCAACTGAGGAAGGCGGCACATCTAAAGCTGAATTAGATTCATTTATTGCCCATATCACTAGACAGAATATGGATAGTGTCTCTCCAACATCAAGTTCCATTCCCAGTTCTTCCACAGGTTGTAACATTTCGTCTCATGTCTCTGCTGCTTGAAGAATTCCGTTCTTTTAACGAACAGAGCCAATTTCCTTTCCAGCGAGGTAAAGAAGCCAAGTGTTCACTGTAATTGATTGATAAAACGAGAAATTTCGATTTCCAGTTGTACGAATGTTCATTTCATGGTCTGAGCACTCGAATGATCATATCATAAGTTAAATGTTTCAACACCCATCGAACTTTGGCTAATGTGATAGTTTACTCACCAAAGTTCACAATGCTTTCCACTGGCCACTCAATTTATAATTTTTGCACTCCATCACTCTTCGGACACATTCCGTTTCAATTTTCACTTAAGAAATTATACATGGCAATTAACTCTGTCCAAAATTTAATAAATTAAATGCCAATATGGACGACACCTCATGAAATTATGAGTCCCAAACATCCCTCTCCCTTAACAAAACGTACTTCCCCGTTCCTTCCAAATCCGTAAGTCCCCCAATTTTTTCAAACCCTAAGCCTCAAATTGCAGCAGTCCCAATTGACGGTCCTCCATATCCGAATGTAAAGAAACTGTAATCGAACTCGTGGCTGCCTGAAGCAGTGAATCATTTATACCTATACTGCATCTCCGGCTGTCAATTGAACTGCGTGAAATGGAAATGTCATCCAACTAGAGGCAGTAAGAGTGCACGCATATACCTTCCAATAACAGAAAATGTCATCCTCTTGGACGAAGGTTTGAAGATTGCATTTTTTGTAGAGGATGAACATGGCCCAGATCATTCTATTTTGCCTCAACCCAAAGATCTTCCATTTTGTTAAAACACCATATTATATAATCCTCATAATTTGTGAGAATTTATTATTCCAATTAATTAAATTGTGAGAAATTTTTGTTTTATTGTTGGAAGCAGATTTGTTGCCAGAATCCCCTGCAAATTTCATAGCTCAGAATGATGAAATAATGTTAAATGTGAGAAATTGTTAGTGTTGTGCAAAAGACCGTAAAAGGGATTGTTTTCTTGTAAACAGTCTGAAAGGAAATGCATCTTTTTCGTTTTCTTGAGCAAAGCTTTAGAAAAAGCACTATCGTTTATTTATGATTTTAGCTTTCCATTCGTTGGTGGATGAGTAATTCTTAAAACTGAACTGAGATTGAAAACTGAAAGTTATTGACAGACGGACTAATTTACATTCCGCTGGTTCTGACTGCCTTGAACTAATGCTAATGCATATGTGATTTTTCTTTTCCTGGATCATCTGATTATATATTTCACAATGTTTCTGGAATTAATTCTGCAGATCACTCCTGGTACTGCAAACTGAAAATTAAATAGAATCGTCCCAAACCTATTTTCACTCGAAACTCCACCCTAATGAACTTGTTCTGAAAGGAACACTTCATTCAGCATCTCAAAAATTGAAATAATATAACAGTGATAAAAATGAGTAAATATTTAATGGGAATCACACATGTAGGTTCACATAATCAGACTTAGCAATACCAGTGCATCCATTCAACAAACACCGAACAAAAATTACAAATAGAAACCATGACCACTTCCACTTGAACACTAGTGGGTTTATGGAAGCCTTGTCTTCCATAGTCACATCCTTCTCTTTAGCATCAAAGTCAGCTCTATTTAACAGGTCATCATCATGAGTAAGGATTCGCCTACCTGAGCCATCGATCCAATTAATGCCCTTGGCTTTTCTTCCCATAGGGACAGAACCACCATTATTATTCTTTGTCTTTAGTAACCAGCTAAAATCCAAACTTTTCTTCTCTTTTCTTTTTACTGGATTGGCAAAACTAGCAGCCATGTTCATCCCAGTAAAATCTTGGCTTGAACATCCCCGAGTTTATTTGGTCGGGCTCGTCACTCTCTCCCCTGGGCCACAACATCATCAGGCTCGCAGATGCGAGCTTGAGCTCGGGTTTGAACTCGAGTTTATATGGTTGGGCTCGTCACTCTCTCCCTTGGGCCACAACATCATCTATGCGAGCTCGAGTTCGAGTTTGAAGTCCCTATCTCAAACTATATAGCTCTATCTTCCCCCAACACATTTACTCAAGCACAAGGTCAGGCCTATGCCCCCAAAGATTGAGGTCGGGCTCTAGAAACATCAATCCCACTTTGGCTACAACTCTTTATAACCTTTATCTTCATTCAAATCACTTATCTATCACATTTTGACTCAAACTCAAATAAAACACTTTCATTATAACACAAACACTCTACATGATAATGATAAGGACTATAGGCAGTTGAATTCTTTTATAACTCTCCCACTAACATCTATAAATGCATGACCAAAACTCATTGCTAAGGTACATTTTTACATACAATTTTAGTGTACGTTTTCATATAAATTCCTTATCTGATTTAAGTATTCGATGGGGGATGAGAACACATCGTTGCATTTGTTTCAAGTACCAGAAGACTCTGTTCGTGCTCTTTCTCAGTTCGCAAGCTTGGGAGATCTACTAGGTACGATTTTTGATAGCATTAGTGGCGCCATCTGTGGGAACCGCTACCAAAAGCTATGGTGAACACACGATCAAGTCTTCCCCCAGCAAGCTCATTTGTCCCAGACCATCCTCCTCTCCTTGAAGATCATCCTATCCCTTAGGAAGAATCATTAGAGATGCCAGTACCTTAGCATGCCGTTGTTACCATCGGAGCATTCGAAGAGCTCTGCCAACAAGTTGCTACATTAACTCAGTTGTTAAGCCAGAGGAATTCTCACCCATCACATACACCAATTCCTGAAGGTGGTTTTATGACAGATGCTTGAGCTCAGGCCCCACAACCCATTATTGATGATGGTGGGGTTGGAACCTTGGGTGTACCCCATACGCCTTGGGGAAAGTGATGATAGAGTCCAATGAACTCGCCAAGATCATTCAAGAGGGAATAACGAAAGGCCTAATGCAGAAAGCTAAGGGGACAACAACTTTAATCCCTAACACACCATTCACTCCTAAGATATTATCATTCACCTTACCGGACAGATTCAAATACCCCCGTATAAAAGAATATGATGGAACTACTGACCCTATCAACCATCTCAATATCTATACTGACATCATGAACCTGCGAGTTACCCCAGACCAGGTGATGTGTAAGGCTTTTCCTCAAACATTGACCAACGCTGTCAGGGGTTGGTTCTCAACCTTTGAGCCCAATTCCATAACCTCATTCTCGGATCTAGCCGACAAGTTCTCTGCCTTCTTCGTCAACAGTAAGCGTATCCGAAAAACAGCAGCATTCCTCATGCAGCTTCGTCAAGAGCAGAATGAGACACTTCGCAATTTCATGACAAGGTTTAACAAAAAAAGACTTTAGATCCCAGACCACTATATCACAACTACAGTCTCAACTTTAAGATATTCTATAAGGTGTGAAGCGTTCAAGATGTCTTTATCAAAGACCCCTCTAACGTCAGTAATCGACCTACTTACTCGAGCTGAGAAATACATCAACATGGAAGAGACTATATTCCCAAGGAAAGATGCAACACCGTCAACTAAGCTAGAGCATAGAAGGCCGCATGACTTAATTTTCATCAAGATCGTCCTCAAGTAAGACAAGTCATGATAACCCTTCAGCAGCTTTTACTCGCCTGAATACAACAAGGTCTAACATTTTAATGGAGATCAAAGATATGAAAGAGCTCAAATGGCCATCAAGGATGAAGTCCCTTCTTAAGTCCCGGGACAAGAACGAGTATTGTGAGTTTCATCGAGACCACGAGCACACGACTGAGGGTTGCTTTGCTCTAGAGTAATAAACTGAAGCTCTCATCAAGAGGGGATTTTTGGGTGCCTATGTAAGCCATGACAAACACCCAAGGAATAATCAGAATAAGGACAAGGCCGCTTGAGATCGGGGAAATCAACAACCAACAGTTGGTCCAATTAATATCATTATCGAAGGTGCAGTCTCAGGAGGAGACTCGAGTAATGAACCCAAACTATACGCCAGGCCGTATCTGCTAGTTTCAAGAATAGGCCTTAATAGAATGGAAGACAAAACTTTTGAACTAAAGGACTCAGAAGGAGTGTCAAGTCATTCTTGGAACGACAACAACCTAAAGCTCTATTATGAGTAGCAGTCTCTGTTCCCAAGTATTTAGGCGAATTTTTGTCCTTCGTTTTCTTTTACAGTTCGGGCCTACGCGTCCATAAGTTTAGTTTGGTAGTTCGGGTTTGCGTTCCCCAGGAAGTTTACTTTTCAGCTTTTCATCCTTTCATGAATGCTTCATGGTTTACAAAAGCTTGGGCCAAAATGCCCTCGAGTACTTACTTTATTATGATATAGAAATTTGCTTTTATACTACTGCTTCCTCTTGAAAATAAACATTTCGCATAAAGCCGTCCCGAGCACGCAGCTAAATCAACATTAACATTTAGCATAAAGTTGTGCCCCGAGCACGCAGCTAAATCAAATCTAACATTTAGCATAGGATCATGCCCCGAGCATGCAGCTAAATTAACTTTAACATTTAGCATAGGGCCGTGCCCCGAACGCGCAACTAAATAAACTCTAACACTTTAGCGTAAGGTCGTGCCATGTGCATGCAGCTAAATCAACTTTAACATTTGGCATAAGGCCGTTCCGTGATCATGCAGCTAAATAAACTCTAACACTTTAGCATAAGGTCATGTCCCAAGCATGCAGCTGTAACGACCAGGACCTCTCGCCCAAGCCGTTAGCTTATGTACTGTCCGCTTTGGGTGGGCCTTGCGCCCACTTACCCTCACGGCTTTCTATGGCGTCCCTTGCCCAATTGGTACCAGAATTCAACTTAGATCTCGCTTATGTAGAGGTCAAAAGTTCGAATCCTGGGGAACCCAATTGGTACCAGGATTCAACTCAAGTCTCTCTTATATAGAGGTCAAGAGTTCGAATCCTGGGGGACGCGATAGAAAGCCGTGAGGGGTAAGTGGGCGCAAGGCCCACCCAAAAGCGGACAGTACGTAAGTTAACGACTTGGGCGAGAGGTCCGGGTCGTTACAAAAAAATGCGCGTTTTTTATAACGACCCGGACCTCTCACCTAAGCCGTTAGCTTACGTACTGTCCGCTTTGGGTGGGCCTTACGCCCACTTACCCTTCACGACTTTCTATCGCGTCCCCCAGAATTCGAACTCTTGACCACTACATAAGAGAGACTTGAGTTGAATTCTGGTACCCATTGTAACGGCTTGGGCGAGAGGTCCGGGTCGTTACACAGCTAAAGCGTACATGTAGACCCTATGCCTAGCTATCGCTCAAGTATACATTTAAAAAAAATTACAATAAGTAAAAAACCCTGACGTTTTTTATCCCGAGTTTGTTTGGCCTGAGTTCTCAAAAATTCCATCAAACTCTAGATAACTGTTCAACATTAAGCTTGAGAGCCTATCCTCGAGCTCAATACATTGTCAAAATCCCAACCTCAGAGCTCGGGATATTGTTCAACATTGGGCTCGGGGCCTATCCTCGAGCTCAATACATTGTCAAAATCCTAGCCTCAGAGCTCGGGATATTATTCAACATTGGGTTCGGGGGCCTAACCTCAAGCTTAATACATTGCCAAAATCCCAGCCTCGGAACTCGGGATCTTATTCAACATTGGGCTCGAGAGGCATAACTTCGAGCTCAATACATTGTCAAAATCCCAGCCAAAGAGCTTTGTCATTTGAAACTGGCAAAGTTCGAGCTCAAGCTCATGCATGAGCTCATTCATTCTCAACTTATGGCAAAGCTCGAGATCAAGCTCATGCATCTGTTCGAGGTCGAGTTCTTTCACTTCAAGCAGAGCTCGTGGTCGAGTTATTCATTCCAAGTTTTTCACAAAAGCTCGAGGTCGAGCTCTTTTAGATCAGCTTCTGGCAAAGCTCTAGGTCGGGCTCTTTTCGTTTCAACTCTTTAAGCAAGCTCAAGGTTGAGCTCTTCATTACAAATCTTAACAAAACTCCATGTAAAGCTCTTTCATTTCAACTTTTGGTAAAGCTCGAGTTCGAGCTCATTCATGCCAAAATCTTCTACAAAGGTCGAGGTCGAGCTCCCTTCTTTCAAAATTTTTAACAAGGTCGGGATTGAGCCCTTCCTTTCAGAATTCTTTAAGGAGCTCAAGGTCGAGCTCCCTTCTCAAAATAGAATTTTTTAATGAGCTCCTGGTCGAGCTCCATTCTTTCAAAAATTTTAACGAGGTTAGGATCAAGCCCCTCCTTTCAGATTTTTTTAATGAGCTCGAGATCGAGCTCTTACCTTTCTTTCAAATTTTTAGACAAGGTCCGCGTACAACTTTCTTTCAAAAATTTAACAAGGTCAAGGTCGAGCCCCTTCTCTTCAAATTTTGAATAAGGTAGGGGTCAGAATATTCAAATATTTTAAGATTGAAATCGAGCTCATTTTTTTTCAAATTTTTTGAAATGGTCAAAACTTGCTATCCTAGGTTTATATGCTCGAGGGCCTATCAATTCGATATGAACGTACTTATGCATCCCATTCCAGGAACTCCCACATTGCGCACAAGCTCTTGATATGGATACACGGGGGCCTATGATGTGTACAATTTCAGTATAACCCGACCATCTACGACCTCATGCTCGAGGTCATGATAACCTCGAGCACTCTTCTATGGCTTGAACATCCTCGAGTTTATATGGTCGGGTTCATCACTCTCTCTCTCTCTTGGGCCACAACATCATCGGGCTCGTATATGCGAGCTCGGGTTTGAAGCCTTATCTCGAACTGTATAGCTAGATCTTCCCCCCACACATTTACTCAAGCACAAAGTCGGGCCTATGCCCCCAAAGATTGAGGTTGGGCTACAAGCTTAGGTCTGGCTTCATGAGATTGGGCTCCAGAAACGTCAATTCCACTTTTGCTACAACTCTTTATGACCTTTATTTTTATCCAAATCACTTATCTATCACAGTTTGATTCAAACTCAAATAAAACACTTTCATTATAACACAAACACTCTACATGATAAGGATAAGGGCTACATGCAGTTGAATCCTTTTACAACCCCTACAGCTAACATCTATAAATACATAACCAAAGCTCATTGCTAAGATACGTTTTTACATACAATTTTAGTATACGTTTTCATATAAATTCCTTGACTGACTTAAGCATCGGAGGGGCGATGAGAACACACCTCATTGCCTTTGTTTTAGGCACCGGAAGACTTTGTTCGTGCTCTTTCTCAGTCCTCAAGCTCGAGAGATCTACCAGGTATGATTTTTGATAGCATCAACTGCCATTAGAACCCCTAACCTTTGCAGACTAATGCTGTAAGATAAACAAATATTTATAGTTCATTCTCTAATTATTCTCTTTATGACTTTCAAAGTATTTCAACACACTTCTAAATATAACTAGAAATACATAATTCATTAAGTGACAACAAGCCAATTAATGTAAACCCAAAAGTCAGAAACCTTCAGCATTGATTGCAGGATGCACAACATGCTAATTTAAACATCAGAACATTTTTTTTTTATAGGCAATAATTACATGAGAAATCTCCTTAATATACCCTCCAACCTTCAGTCCAAGAGGTCTGTATCAGTAGTAAAGTGGCGCAACCTTCTGTCTAGGAGGTCTATATCAAGTTTCCATTTTGCGCATTTCAAATCACGGCTGGATAGTATGCAGTTTCTGATTAACTTCTTCAAGCAGCGGCAAGTACCAACAAGTTGGATTACAATTTTCACCTGATC